ACTCAGCCTTGAGCACACCGCCGGAAGGCAGGATTCAAAATCGCACAGGAAATCCGAAGCATCATGCGAAATCTTTCGATGCGAAATACAGCATCAAATCACATGAAAACGGAAAGTTATCCAAGCGTGAAAAGAAATGCTGGTTGTTTAAAAGCTGCAAGTTCGCTACGCCTTCGGCTTCGCTAGACCAGGATAAACATAACTGCGCTCCGCTCCGTGGGACATCCTCAAAGGAACTGAGTTTCGAGAGCTGGGCTGCAACGACTGTTGCATCTGATGCACACTTGATGAGCGCTGCCAGTGCAGCGTCATTGTCACAATAGCAAATGATGTCACAGTCGTTCAAGCTTTCGCACAACTGCAGTAGCCCTTGCACAGCTGCACAAGCTTCCAACTCGTAAATCAGACCCTTTTTTCCTTCACTTTTGACGTTGTTAAGCAAGTCAGGCTCGGCACGCTCCGAGAACCACCTAAGCAACAAACCCCCATCACTATAAAGGATGCCTCCCAAACCTGCCGGCTGGTCCCGTTCGTAAGAAGCATCCGTGAAGAGGTGGTAAGTTGGACGGTCGCAGGCGCGAAGCACGCGAGGCGGTCCATGCAACACGCGGTCCTTCAAGAACAGCAGGGCCTCCAACATGGTGTCGTCGAACACCACGAACCCGACACGCTTCATGGCACGCGAAATGACTCGCATGCGCTGCACGGCTCCACGGCCAAAGATTTGTGTTTCGGCAAACTGCAGTCTGCCCCTCAGACACTCCAGCTCCTTGGCGTGTGCGCCGCCGTTGGCAATCAAGGATTCGATCGTCGCTGCCAATTCACGGCGGCGCGACTCAGTGTTCTGGATCCTAAGTAAACCCAAATGAATTTCACCCAAGCAGATCTCCACGCCAAGCGCCTTAGCGATGGCACTAAACCCCGCGTCTTTCTCATCCGAAGTCTGCCACCCTACCAGGGCAAAGTAAGAACGCAGGACCAGATCCAAGTGGGATTGTTCATGAGGAGTGCTGATGATCACGAAATCATCAAAAAACAAGCTCCAGTGAATGCGCAGCAACCTCACCCCTACGGCCCATCTTGCCAGGGAGGCACGGTAAAAGCATTGAACCGATGATTTCGATCCGAACGGCAGCACTAAGCTCTGGAAGAGCTCCGGTTCATTCGTGTGAGGGTTAAACAGTTAAACACACAAATGTACGAGTCGTTCAAAGGCCTCCCCTGACAGAGGCAGTTGTTTATAAGCCTTTCGAAGATCGATCGTACGCATCGTCAGGTGAGCATCCAAGCGCAACTTACGAAGCAGCCTGCAGCGCAACAAGATTCCAGCAGCAATGACGTTGATCGAATGGGGTTCGATCGTCTCGGAACAAGAATTTGTCAAGTTGGCAAGACTCTTTTTTCACAAGCAGCGGCCCCTGTGGTCGCCTAGCTCAGGCTCTACAGGTTTTCAACCCGGTGTCTCAAGGACACTTAGCCCCTAGCACTGGCAGCCAGTGCAAGAAAAGCACATGCCCGGCACGAATGCCCAAGCGACATGTGCACGGCAACTAGAACTAGAACTACCGAAGCGGAAACGAAAGTAAAAGAGTTGGCAAGACTTCACAGCCGAAAGCCATAAGGCGGCGGCGGAGCGTGGCGCTCCAGTTACAGCTACAACTAGTGCGGTCCGACACCGAGGATGCAGGGGGCGTCCCCCCAGCCATCCAAGCAGAGAGCACACCCGTCCGTAACACCAGTGGTGCCCGACAACAAGCAACAGCCTCCTGCGACCAGCGAGGACTGAGCAAGGTGCGCATGCAATGGCCGTAACCGCACAGAAGCTACACTCCCCTATGCCCTGACTCAGCTGAAGGCTTCAGAAGTGGTGTAATCAGCAGTGCATGGCCACATTCACATGTAGGGGTCGGTGTCTCGTTCACATGTGGCAACCACAAAGCCTGCCTCCCGTAGTTGTGAAAGATGGCTGTCACGAAGCCGCCAAGCATCTCTGATGTGGTAGGTGCAAACCATCAATCGTCCGCCAGACCAAGGCATGACAGCATGCGGAAGTGTAGCATCCAACAAAATGTAAGGGTGCCGGACAGGGTGAATGTCCCCGAGCCCCGAACCTGGAAAAGGAACTCTGCCGCATGCATTGGCAGTCCACACCTCACCGCCATCCCAACAACCAGCGGGTATAAGAATGTTGTGAAAGACTTTGCTGTTGTGTGAGTCCACATGTACACCTGACCATTGATTGAGCGCGAGCGCCACCGAAGTGAAAGGCCTATCATTGAGACATTCTATAAGCCTTAGAACCACGATTCCATGGGTTCTATTTAATTCTATTTATTTACGAAAAGAATACGAATTAAATACGAATTGGAAATACGCTCCTACTTATGGCCCACGATAACAGATATGAAAAAAATACAGATTGGAAAACACGGTTGCAATATGG